ACCGTGGCCGTCAGAGGGGTTGATGGGTCCATGGTTCATCCCTGTGTGCCACCTCTTGGTGCAGAGCATGTCCATCCACACCTTCTTTTCCCGTGCTCCTTTTGTCCGGGTTATTGCGTGATAGAGGTACTCAACCCATGAGAAACTCTAGGGAGATGGGAGATCCTGTGATGCCAAGGGGGGCAACCATGATGAAGAGCATGTCATCCAGTGATGGGTTCCAGGAACTGGGGATCTTTAACCTGGAGAAGAAAGGATTTGGAATACGGTAGCTGGCTTTGAAAAATGGTCCTGTTCCGATGGAGCAGAATGGAGACCAGATGGCATAAGGTGCAGAGAGGCAGATTTGGGGTCAATGTCAAGGAAAACCCTCCTAATAATTGAAGCTAAAAAGTGGGATGGGCTGCCTTGGGAAGTGATGGGTTCTGCCCTGTTGGAGTCTGCATGACCATGAGTTGGGAATGGAGCTAGAGTAGACAGCCCTCTGACAATGCCTCATCAGCCTTAAAGCATGGTAGCGGCATTAGTGGTCTAGCATTGCTGGCGTTGGGGTTGCTTCTGTCGTTGAAGAGATTCTGAATGTCTCTCAGTCATCCAGACTTGAGCTAGGGCCGAATCAGCTTAGCGAGTGGCCTTCTCCAAGAGATGTCACGGGAGACCCTTCAGACAGACACACAACCACCGCCTTGTTCTTTTCCATCTGCCCTCCCCCACCACCTTTCCCACGTGAGGGGCTGCCTTCCATCTCCCTGCTCCCCTCATCATTACCAGGTCACCCATCCCTGGCACCAGGGGATGTGGGTAGTGATCACCCATGTCCACGGCTCCCAAAGCCTCGTTTGGACAGTCCGTTCTCGGACAAAGCAAATCTTTGCCTTGCTGGTGTACCCAAGCCTCCAGGGGACGGAGCATCGTGTACAAAAGCATCCTTCGGCCGACGCTGCTGCGGGCAGGAGGAGCCAGCCACCCCACATCCCCCCATCCCTTTCAGCTTCCTGTTTTGGGGCGTCACTGTCCATGAGATTATAAATTCCTTGAGGGCAGGGACTGGCTTTTATCTCTGCCCGTGTTATTTTACCAGTACTTAGCAAGGTTCCTGGCACATAATGCTTAAGGAATACTTGTAGACATTATGCAACAGACATTTAGTAAGCATCTGCCATGTCTGGTGTGTTACTCTTGCCAGGAGGTGCGGGGAGATAAAGTCTTTAAAACTTCATGGATCTTACAGTAAGGAAGAGGGTTAGAGTACCACTATAATTAATTATCATACACAGCATTTTATAAGTGTGTAGTGGATAAAAGGCGGGGCCTGGAGTCAGGAAGACCTGAGTTCAAATGTGGCCTCAGACATTTACTAGCTGGGTGACACTGGGCAAGTCACTTAACCCTGCTGTTTGCCTCAGTTTCCTCATCTGTAAAATAAACTAGAGAAAGAAATGGCAAACCACTCCAAGAAAACCCCAAATGGGGTCATGGAGAGTCGGACATGACTGAAAAACAAGGGAACGAAGCAGCAGCCCTAGAGAGAGCGGTGAAAATCCTGCATTTCATGTGAGGCCCACGGAGAAAGACGGCCACTGACCAAGGCAAGCTCTTCGTGAATAAAGGAATGCTAACTAGAGCACACAATGTAATGGCACTTTAAGGTCTGCCAGTCAGTTTCTACACACGGTATCATTCGGACCTCACAACAACCTCGCGATGTGCCTGCTACAGGTGCCGTGTCCCCATTTTACAGTTGAGACAACTGAGGGTCTTTCCCATGTTTGACAGTGGCATTAGTGATGTATGTGCTCACTGTGTACTGGGCACAGTGCGAGCCGCGGAATGCCAGAGGGGATCACCAGTCTCCCTGACTTCCTGTCTACTGGCTATGACCGGCATTTGTGTTGGGCTTTAAAGGTCCGGCTGAGCCGGAGAGCCAATGCCCATAGTAGAGGAGGGCGGCGTGTCCGGTGAGCTTGGGAAGCTGTTGGGGAGCGGCAGAGGGTGGGATGAGGCTGGCACCGGGCTTGGACGCCACCCAACCTCCCTGTCCGGAGGCAAGAGCAGCATCTTCCCAGGTCCTCTGGGAGCACGGTGGGACATGGTGTTGTTCAGAGGTCTTTGTCTTGACGATGCTGTCACAGCGCAAATTGTTCTGGTTCTGCGAGGGGTCGCAGGTCTGCCCAGCCTCCTCGGAAGCCGTGGTCTCTTTGGGCATTTCTTACGCACGCACGGCGGCACCTTGCTCTGTCCGTCCACCACGGCGTCTTGAGCCAGCCCTCTGTACGGTCAGCCCCCGACCCCAGAAGGGAAAACTCAGAGAAACCCCTCGGTTATCGATCACAGGCCACAAAGTGCTTTCCTACTCCTGGAAGAAGGTTGTGCAAATATCATTGGCTCCGTTCTACAGACAAAGAAGATGAGGGTCAGAGAGGAGGAGAAGCCCAGGGTCATGGCATGAACAAACGCCCGGCACCCCATTTTCTGGCCCAATTCCTGGGCTCTTCCCTCAGAACGGCATTGAATGTTGATCCCAGAAAGCCCAGGGAACCTCTCAGGCAGAGGGGACGTGCAGCTGAGAACAGTCGGGGTCAGAGGACCGAACCAGGAAACGATGGGTGTAGTTGTAAAAAGCGCAGATTGAGGCTCAGCATCCGAAAAGCCTTCCCAACAATCCAGGCTCTCCAAGGGGAGACTCGGCTTCCTCGGGACATGGTAGAGCCCCCCGCCCTTGAGGTCTTCACACAAGTGCTGCGTGACTGCCCTGGGGGGAGGGGACCCCTGGTTATAGGGAGGGTCGGGCCAGATGGTGTCTGAGGCTCCTTCTGGCTCTGAGAATCTGGGAGACAGCCTTGGGGGTGGAGTGAGAATCATTGTACGGGAGCACCCCGTTCTCCGCCCTGATGATCCATCGCTCAGTCTCTGACGTCCCTGCACCCTGCTCCCTCCCGTGGGCATGCAGACACCCCCCCAGTCCGTGTACCCGTGCACCCCGCAGCAGTAAACACTTTCCATCCCAGGGTGCTTAAAACTGCATCTGCCCTCGCATCACAGACAGAGTTACTGCCAAGCGCAGCTGGGATGTGTTTATAACATCCAGTTTCAAACTATTCCGTTGTTAATTTAGAAAGAAACTTGCGCCAAACATCAGAAGGGCTTCCTTTGCCCCTCCCCCCCAAAAATAGAATGTCTTCATCTTCCTCTCTTTTATTCTGATGAAACTGATTGCTTTTTAATTTTCTTAATTTCAAGGGATTGTTTTTCTTCCTGGGCCCTTTTCTGCTTTTAAGAATGGCGCCATTCTCTAGAATTACGCAAGCCGGGCTCTTGGGAACTATCCCCATATTGGTCTATGCCTTCCCCAAGGGGCATTTGCCCAGCAGATCGAGTGTCAGTCCCTTAGTCTGGCCTTCAAGGCCCTTCCCCATGCACGGCCAATCTGCTTTTCCTGCCCAGTCTCATAAATATTGCCTCACTGGGTAGTGAGTTCCCCCTCACTGGCCTAGGTGCTGCGGTGTGGGGGTGGGAGTTCTCGCAGAGGCCTGGTTGGACTTCCTGGCCCGTGTGTGAGGCCACCTGTAAATTGATGATTCTTTATTCCATGTATGTGCTGTGCTACAGGGGAGCCGAGCATGGCTTCCCAGGCAGCTTCCATCCTCCATCTTGATCCGGATGGCACCGTCTCCCCACAGTTTGACCCCTCACATTTCCATCAAGGACAGCTCAATGGAGACCCCTTTCTTATAGCCGTCTTTGACACGCCACCCCACGTAGGCCACAAGCAGTATCGCTTCCTTGACATCCAGTAGCACTGTCAGCAGTCATCAAGCGTCTGTTAAGTTCCTACTGTGTGCCGGGCACTGGGACACTATAAGTGATTCAGAGTGAAATCAGAAAACCCTGGGGTACGGTGTGCACCATGAATACAAGATCACGTATGGGCAGAAAATCGAACGCGTGAGAATACTGTAAGGGTAATGACCATGCTCGGCCCCAGAGAAGAGCCGGGGATGTACATACACCTTCCTCCTTTCGTTGAAGGGATGGAGAACTTGGAGGGTATAACATTGTGTGTAACGTCGGGAAAGATGGAAGTGTTGGAAGGTTTGGCTCACCCACTTTTTCGCTCTTTCGGTCTTTGCAATGAGGGATGGCTCCATGGAGGGAAGATGGGAGTAGAATAGACTGGGAGGGGAATGTGATTTAGCAAAAGGCATATCCAAAAATAACTTTAAAAAATCAAGTCCTAATTTGCTTTATTCCCTCATCACCTACTTCTTTGCACTCTAGTTTTTGGTAGGGCTAAACTGTAAGTTACTAGAGAGCAGACACTGTGCCTTGGCCATCTTTGTGTGCCCCGTGGCTCGCAGGACAAGACGTTTCATAGACTAGATTCATCAGTAAATGTTTGTCGAGGGACTGAGGGACTACATACACCAGAAAGGTTTTGGTTGAGATTCTCAAAAAACAGCCTGAACAAACATGGCTCCCGTCATATCCTGCCAGGCCCTCGGCACTAGGCATAGAAGCACATTTGATGGATGAATAAGCCATGGGTTTTTTAGATCCTGCTTTTAAACAGCCTCGTAATTGGCCTAGTCATTGAAATAAGCCTAATTAAGAGAGACTTCATTGCTTTCCCTCTCTTCTCTTTCTCCTTCCCCCCTCCACCATTTTTAAAAGCAGATTAAACAGTGGAAACTATGCTGACATTGTAACTGTAAGCAGTGAAAACGAATATTTATGAGGGGATTGTGAAAGTTTGCATGACATATGGGCCTTTTATCACTGTTGATGTTTGGAATTCCCCTGAACAGTAATGCAATATTTTGTTATTTATGAATGAGTGGACGGAGGAGTGTACTTGGGTTGCCTGGGTTCACTCTGCGGAGGGGAATGTTCAGTTTGACCTCATTTTCTGTGCATCAGCCCAATTGCTTCACATTAGGCAGCTACATATCATCTTTTTTTCGGGCAAATGTTGAAAAATCCTCATTGTGTTTTTATTACAGACACAGATCCTCGTGTTTTGGAAAAGCAAGAGTTGCAGCAGCCAACCTACGTCGCCCTCAGTTACATTAACAGGTAAGTGCAGTTCAGAATTTACAGCCGCCGCCCCTGCCCGCTGCACGTTCATTTCTAAAAGGCGTCTGCTTAATGGACAGACGCGGTGATGGACCGTGCACAAATGACTTTTTTTGTTTCTCAATGCAAGAGTGCATAATGGCAGCCTGGAAGACGTACTTTCACATTTCTCTCAAAATGTCCTCCTCAGTGGACATTAATGAAAAAAGGGATGTTTCTGGTGTGAGCTCAGACAACCCCTGGCAGGTCCTGGGCCTCAGTTTTCCCAGGTGTAAGATGGGCATACTGGACCAGAACAGGTGTTCTTTGCCTTGGTTGTACTGTAGACCCCTCGGGCAGCAGTCTGAGGAAGCCTATAGGACCCCTGGCAGATGAAGGTTTTCAGGTGCATCAAATAAAATAGCCTGAATTACAGTATGTTTATCAATGTCTTTCGAAAACAAAACCTTCTGGGCTGGAGGGTCTCCAAATCTGGGGTCCTGGAAATAGTCACAGTTGGCATTTCTGCCCTGCTCTAAGGGTTCCAAGGTGCTTCCGGATCTGTAACAGGTAGGTGGGTGTAGCAGGTGATGAGGTAGGTAATGCAGGTGTTGTTCTTCCATTTTGCGGATGGGGAGTTGGGCCAGAGGCAAGGTTTGAACTGGCCCATGTCTCTACTGTACTGCCCACCCTGTGTGGAGTGTTAGAGGATTCTCTCCCCCCTGGGGCTGAGGCGGGTCTCTGGGCTGGGGTTGGGCCCAGTGGGATTATGAATGTAATTAGACCTGGCCTAGGGTGAAAGATCTTCCATGGAGTTGAGCTGTCATTTGAAAATCTGAATCGATCGGAAGATGAGAGAGCAAGGTATTTGTGACTGGTGAAGGGATGTGAATGGGGAAACTGACCTATGTTCATGGGCAGCTCAAGCTGTTCAGGGGAGTTGGGCGAGAAGTTGGAAAATCTGGGGTTCCCCATCATGCCTTGGCATTTGCTAACTACGCAGCCCGAGGCAGATCATTTCACCCACCTCAGCCTCAGTTCTCTCATCTGTAAAATAAAATAGTAATGCCTGTAGTCAACCAGCAAGCATCTGGTAAGTGCTGACTGTGTACCCGGCACGGTGCTAAGCTCTGGAGATCCAGGGGAAAAGCTGAAACAGTCCCGTCCCTGTAGGCGCTTCTGTTCCGTGGGAGAGCCCGCGTGGACATGCCTGAGAACATCTACGGTCATCTCGCTGGGCACTGGGGACTCTCAAGGCTGATGATGGACTTATGGTGCTCTGCAAACATTGAAATATGTGACTTGGCCATGTGTGGCCCATGCAGGCAGATCAAAGACAGGACTTAGGTTCGTAGAATTATAGACCTAGAGCTAATCCCCCTCATTGTACAGATGGGGAAACTGAGGCCCAGGGACATTCAGTGACTTGCCCAGGAACACAGCAGGGGCAGAGTTTGAACCCACGTCCTGTGAGAGACAGGGCCCTTTTCCCTGTGTCAGACTGACTTGAACCCAGATCTTCTTGACTTTAGAACTGGCCCCATTTGCATCGTGTGTGCCCCATCACCTCCATGTATGCATTAGGGCTTAATAAACGTTTATCGGATTGATTCAGACCAGAGCAGCAGGAGAACATGTAGGCTGAGCCCAGGTTTCTAGGCATAATCATTGCCCTGATCGATGCTGCACAGCTCCCACCCCCACCCCCATCCATTAGGGAGGGAGATGCAATTTCTTTCCTCCCAGAGAGCTCTCTGCACTCAAGCTAAGAAAACACACACATAATTAGAAAGAGGTAAGAGGAGGCTGGCTTTCCTTCTGAATGGAAAGCTAGCTGTTCATAACTCAGGGGCACGGGATGCTCGTGGTCCACGGGCATCCCTTTCATGTGAGGTGAGGAGTACTCTCCCTCCCCTGGACTCTGGGCGCCTGCAACCAGAGGTGGGGGCCAGCCGCCCACCCCACTGCAGCCCCACAATCCGTGAGCGTTCCATCCCCCAGGGTCAAACCGACCAAACTTAATGCTGTTCTTTGGAGGATTAGCTCGGGTTAGGGTATTTTATTAAGCAAATCATTTTTAAATACAACGTGAAGCTTTCGAGGTCTGGTTTGCATTGACACTACTGGCCACAGTCCCACGTGCCCCTTTGTAAACTCAAAACCTTCCCTACCCATTACCTACCAAAGAAACCTATAGGACCATACTCTAAGAACTGGGATGGACTTTGGAGGTCAGACAGACCATATGTGGAAACTGAGGTAGAGTGGACAGGTAGCAAGCAGAGCCCTAATTCAAACTGAGGACAGAGAGAAAGAGAGAGAGAGAGAGAGAGAGAGAGAGAGAGAGAGAGAGAGAGAGAGAGAGAGAGAGAGAGAGAGAGAGGCAAAGAGAAACAGAAAAACAGAGAAAGAGGCAGAAAAGAGAGAGAGGGAGAAAGAGAGAGAAAAAAATGAGGGAGAGAAAGATACAGAGGGAAAGAGAGAAACAGAGAGAGAGAGAAGAAACAAAGACAGAGAAAGAGACAGAAAAGAAAAAGAGGGAGAGAAGAGAAATGAGAGACAGGAGAAAGAGATACAGGGGGAAAGAGAGAAACAGAGAGAGAAGAGAAAAGAAAGTGAAAGAGAGAGAGAGAAGAGAAACAAAGACAGAGAAAAGAGAGGGGGAGAAAGAGAAACGAGAGATAGAAACAGAGTGGAGAAAGAGATGCAGAGGGAAAGAGAGAAACAGAGAGAGAAGAGAAACAAAAAAAGAGAGGGAGAGAAGAGAAACAAAGACAGAAAAGAGGGAGAGAAGAGAAATGAGAGACAAGAGAAAGAGATACGGAGGGAAAGAGAGAAACAGAGAGAAGAGAAACAAAAAAAGAAAGAGAGGGAAAGAGAAGAGAAACAAAGACAGAAAAGAGGGGGGAGAAAGAAACGAGAGATAGAAACAGAGTGGAGAAAGAGATACAGAGGGAAAGAGAAACAGAGAGAAAAGAAAAACAGAGACAGAGAAAAGAGAGGGAGAGAGAGAAATGAGAGAAACAGAGGAAAGAGAGACAGAGGGGGGATAATGGGATCATACGTTGAGGCGGAAGAGATCTCAGAGGGCCTTCCTTTTCAGCTAGGGAAACGGAGTCCCGGGAGGCTACGTGATTTGCCCAAGGCCAGGCCCCTTGTAAGTGTCAGAGACTTGCTGAGGCGTGTGCGTTCATGTCCTTGACCCAGACTGTCTCTGCTTCCTTGTCCACTGCCAAGGCCCTAGGCCTGACTTTCACCTGGTCTCACCGTCCCTCAGCTGTCCACTCTGCACATGGGGCTCTCCTTGGCTGTGCTTCCAGATAGAAAGGAATTAGAAGGTGTACATGCCTGACCTATGGCGGGCTTAGAAAATAATTTAAAAGATAATGAAGGCAAATGTAGAGTGTTGATCAGTAAGGTGGTGTGTCAGTTAAGAAAGGGAGCATGGTCTCAGGCTGAGTTCCGTGGCACAGTTTCCAGGACTAATGATAATAGTAATGGTTAGCGTATATGATCTCATTTTGTCCTAACAGCGTCCATGGGAGGTAGGTGCTATTATGATCCCCATTTTACAGATGAAGAAACCAAGGCGGGCCAAGGTGAGTGACTTGCCCAGGGTCACACAGCTAGGGAGTATCTGAGGCTTGAAGTGAACTCAGGGCTTCCTGACTCCAGGCCGGGTGCTCTGTGCACTGTGGCGCCTACTACCTGCCTGACCAGGCCCACCCTGCTTAGACCACATGTGGTGCATTGTTCGGTTTGAGGTGTCACCCTTTAGGAAGGACTTCAGTAAGCTGGAGGGTGTCCCAAGGAAGGCGATCAGGACGGTGAAGGGCCTCAGGATCGTGCAACCTCAGGATCTCTTCATGAGCCTGGGGATGTTTAGTGTGGAGGGCACAGAGAGGGACGCCCAGGACATCTGTTACAGGAAAGCGGGATGACATGTGTTCTTGGCCCCGAGGGCAGAATTGGGAGAGATGGGTGGAAATTGCAAGGAGGTAAACTGAGGCTTGAGGTCAGGAAGACCCTTCTGACAACGAGCTGCCCCAGAGAGGAATGGGCCACACGGGGGCTGGCGGAGCTCTCACCGCTCTCGGGCCTCCCTCGGATTCCACATCTCAGTGAGGTTACACAGAGGATTCCCGTCAACGGTGGTTTGGACCAGACGGTCCCTGGCCTTCTCCACCATTCAGAGCTTGTGTGTGTTATACACAGATACAGACGCACACATAGATATACATATATCACACACACATATGTGCATAATGCTACATTCTGCATATACACGTGTGTATACACATGTGTGTACATGTGTGCATGCTTATATAACCTATTGTGTATGCCTGTGTGCATATATAGCAGTCTGCAGATCTTAATATGCCAGGTAAATGTGAGCTCAGATGCTAAGGCCCTGCCCCAGCCTGCGTGCGTCCCAGCGTGGGAGAGGGCTTTGTCCCCAGCAAGGAAGGGGACCGATGAGACGCACAGAGCACAGCCTGACCGTAGGGGAAAGGTCCAAGAAGGACAGAGGCTTGGGGCACACATTGGAAACCTCTCAGAAGGCGGGGACTGTCTCATGTTTGTCTTCGTATCTCCAGCACCCAGCACAACATGTATATACATACATACATACATACATAAGTACGTACGTGTGTGTGCATGCATACATGCGTACATAGTAGGCACTTAATAAATATTCACTGATGGATCGATTGCGTACACAGATGAGTGCAGTATGAAGGCCCGGGGTGCCTGGGGCAGAGAAAGGAGGATTACCAGAGATTGTTCCTTGCTGGTGAGATCATAGGCTCCTGGTGCTGAGGGAGAAGTGAATGTGGGTACCCGTAATCCAGTCCCCTGAGGCAAACAGGAGGAAGTGACTTGCCCAGGGTCACACAGCTAGAGAGGGTTTGAGGCCAAATTTGAACTCAGCCCTTCCTGGCTTCCAAGTCCAGCGGTCTATCCACCGCACCACCCAGCTGCCCTTCTCTCCAGTGGGCCACACAAAAATCCTACGAGGG